AAAAAAAAATAGTAAAAAAAGAGGTGGCCGCGGGCAGGGTGGGGGGTCGCCGTGGGTGCCCCCCACCCCTGAGGCTGTGGGGAGGCCGAGGAAGGCCTCTTCTGCCCGGTTTGGGGTTATGGGGTGATGCGTTCCCCCGGCTGCGTTCCCTTCCGCGCTGCTCGTTTACATGGGGTGGGATTTTCATCCAAAGACAGGGCCGGGTTTGCTGGGGTCCCCTAGAGGGAGGCCTCTGTAATCACACGTGTGTCCTGCTGTGTTATTCCGGATGCTACCAGTTTAACTTGCTTCATTAGAGAAGCGATGGTACCCTCACATTCCTCTACTGTATCACGTCCTTTGTGGTGTTAGTGAGACCATGACAAAGTGTCCTTTTATCTTGTGCTTTCTTTTGGCCGAGAAGTGGAATAGTGCATTCACTTAAAAAGCAAGCAAGAAACCAAGCAACCTCCCGAGAGAGGTGGTAGGGCTCGGGGTGAAACCCCTCAGGTGGCTCAGGGCAGAGGTGGTGGGTGCTGCTCTGGGGCCTGGCGTGGGAACAGCTCGGTGGGTGCAGCAGAAGACCGCCTCACCAGCTAAGCCTGGTGTCCCAAAAACGTTGCTCTCCTTTAAAGAAGGATGCTGTGATCTCCAGCATCCGAAATGCCCCTCTTCAAAGCAGGAGCTAGGTTCTGCTCCACCATGGGCAAAACAGGCGACGGTTCCTATCAACGCGGTCCAACGGCACCACCCCCACCAAACCGCAGCACGTGTACACCAGAGTTGCGTGAAAGACAAAGATGTTCTTGCTTTGTGAGGCTGTAGTGGGTACGAAGCCACTTTATGGCTGGATACAGGCACAACTGGATCTGTGCAGTGAATTTCTCGCTCCTCGGAGCTAAGTGCACATGAGAAAGCTATGAATCTCCAAAGTGTGCCTGGGGCTTGGACTTATTGTCTACCTTTGAAAGGTGGCCAGTCTCTTTCTTTTTCTTTTCTCATTTCCTTTGTGTTTCGGATACCTTGGGCAATGGGCAATAGGCACAATGTTGAATCAGCATAACATCTAAAAGTAAATATATATGTCAGAAAGAGTAATATATATATCAAACCACTTTTCTCTGCTCATTTTATTTCTTCTGGTTTCTGTAAGTGCAGCCAGGTCCCTGCAGTTCCTCAGCGTGAAAACTCAAGACAGAGTTCGTTTGAACCATTTTTGAAACTTTGTGGACATTTTGAAATGTTTTCATACAGCCTGATCTAGAAGACAGTATTTGTTTCCCTGGGCGGCTCATTTTGTATCTTCAAATGAAACGTAGATTAACTAATCAGCTCTATAGAAACCTCGACATGAAAAAAGTTGCATTTTCTTGGCTTTCCAGTCAATTCCCTATTGCCGAAGATTTTAACAGTGTTGTTTTAGAGTTTAATTGTATACTTGAAACTTGTCTCAGTTGGAGGGATCCATTGATCAGCTTTGACAAAGGCATAAAAGGGTCAGTGGAAGATAATTTTCCCTGGTGGCCCTCCACAGCAGTAGGAGGAAGATTTGGGATGTGAAGAGCTAAAGCCGAGGATACGGTCCCTACCAGACAGCTAAGTCAGAGGGGAGGTGGAGATGTCCTCACCGAAATGCTTGGTAGTCACCCAAACGTATTTACAGCAACTTTGTCGAAGGCAAACTCTGCTGCCTAAATTCTGGTCCTTGCACTAAGGAGACTTTTATTCTGCTGCATTAATCCAACTCACAGTCAGCGTCAAGATGTGGCGTGAGCATATCGCATGCTCAGATTTAGTATAAAATGCTGATCTAATTTTTTTCGAGTGATGGTCTAGGAACTCTCTCTTGGACACTGTTAAAGGTGGCCACAGAAGTTGTTAAAAATGCTTGGTAGGCTTCAGGAGAAGTCTTAAGAAGTCTCCTCTGAAGAGCTTTTTGGTAAATTGGCATTTTTGCAGTCTTTCCCCTAAAAATATATATATAATGCATTTTTCTAGGGTTTTTTTTCCCTTTGCTGTTTTCCCTCTCCTTTTTTCTCAGTGGAAAGAGGGGAAAACAAGGAGAAGTGAGGAAGAAGGTGAGCAGGTATGAGTCCACCCGCCATGCATTGCGTTGTGGAAATCTCTGATTATTTTATCGCACCTTTGCTTTGGTGGGTTTTATTTTATCGCACCTTTGCTTTGGTGGGTTTTATTTTCCCTATAGAAAATCTTTCACTGGAAAAAGTTTCGAGTGACAAAGTTGGGCATCAGTGAGGACATTGGATGTTGGAACCTCCTTAAGTTGGATATCAGGAGAGATAACTTAAAACTTCTAAATACTTACCTAGTGAGTAATGCTGTGTGCGGGGTGGGAATGCCCTGGTGTCCTTCAGCGCTGGCTTTGGGACTTGTTTAGTACAGAATACAGGGCCTGATTTTGGATGAGGTCATGTTGCCATAAACAAGGAGCAGCTCCTGTGAATGTAATGGTATCACACGTGGATGGACCACCAACTATAAGAGGAGCACTGGAAAACAGAAAGGGTTTTCCAGCACTGTGAATCCTCTGTGGATTCACCGAGGATCCAAAACATCTGGAAACATGGTGAAAAGAGCCAAGCAGCACTTGTCTAGCTCCCGGGCATCATGAGAAGGAGACATAGCAACGAGAGTATGACCCATCATTCTCTGTTTTCTGGTATTGAATGTATTGGTAAGCCTTGTCTGGCTGGGATTCCTATGTCACAAGTCATTAGAAAAGTTGAGGTCTATAAAAGCCATTGACTTAATGATTGTGCTTTTCAGATTGTGCTTTTCGGATTGTGCTTTCTTTTTCCACAAGGGGACAGTGGTAGTTCTGCAAAGCACAGGGTCTTCAGCTGGTGGCAGTTTGCAGGTGTCCTTCGACTTCCACTGAGCCTCTGTGGCCACTCCAGCTGGAAACTGGAGCTGCTCGGAGAGGGCTGGTCGGCGTTTAGTTGGGAAGACCTCCATGTCCTCACCCTGGCAAACGGCCCAGATCTTGCCAGTGTACCTTCAAAACCTGAGCTTTGCACATAGCTTTTGGGGAAAGATGAAGGGGCCAGAGCCTGGCTCCTCTTGCACTCACATCACTTCTGGACCCTACAGGAGCTGGTCTAGATTTACAGCAGCAGAAACAAGCAGAAAATTGGTACTGAACAATTACACAAGGTATGTGACCAGCCCCAAGCCTATGGCAGAGATCAGCATAGCCAGGGAAATGAATTTTCTGCTTATTTGGTTGATTTATTTACAGCTTTCTCCTTGCCTTTGGCTTTTCTACCATGAGTTGGTGGCAAGCAGAACGTAGGTACGAAATACTTTCTGTATTGCTGGTCAGGGGTTTCAGTCAAGGGGCTGAGGAAAGGGTGAGGAGGAGAAAGAGAAAACATTCCTGGAATATGCTGTAAAAAGGACAGGGACGCCCCTGGATGGGACGTAACCACAGCTGCATGAACGCCTTGAGTTTCGTGGAGATGTGCTAGGCGTGGGCGTGAGCTTGTGCGTTTACAGCAAGCCCTTGTCCCTGTCCCAGCTCATTTCAATTGAGAAATTTAAAAAAAAAAAAAAGAAGCTAATAAAATGTATAGACTCTGCCAACAAAGTTGGTTAGGTTTGTTTTTTTTTTTCCTTTCCATTTTGTTCAGTTTGGGGCTTTGAGCAGTGAAAACATCTCTTTTTAGCCAACTTTGTTTCAGTAACCAGCAGTAAATATCCCAAGGATCTCAGTCCTGATGTGTCAGCCGCAATTTATTCGTCTCAAATGAAGACTTTTAATTGAACTTTGAATAAAACCCCAAGAAACCATTACTGTTCTCAGTAGGTGACGAAGTACCTCTTTCTTGCAGAAGCATCAAATTTGGGGTGGGGAGGTCTCTATAAAGCCATTATCTTGGTAATCACTTGTGTTGTATTGACCAGAATTGACGACTCGGTTGTTAATAATTAATTAACAGTTCACTTTGAATTGTCAGGAATAATTGTTCAATGCACATGGTATTTCCTTGTAAGGCCTTTCATTCATGCGCAACCTTTTCTCTCGGTGAGGCAGTCATGCTGCCATACAGCTGATGGCTTCACTTGTACCATTTGTACTTTTTCTGTTAAAAATGCAGTTGCCTACTGAAAAATCCCCCGAGAGCCACCCTTCCCGCTGTCCCTGCAACGCTGGGAATAGAGCTTTCCCA